TTTGCTCTTCTTGTTTGAAGAAGAAGAAGAGTCGAGCTCTTCGTTTGCTCTTCGTTTTTGGGATTCTAACACTGGACACGTTCTGGCCGACTACGCTCTCTTTCACGAGCGTCCTTAAATCAGCAAGCTCCTTTTAAAGTTGTTCTAGTTTGGTTTGAATATCTGCGCACCCACCACAAGGCTCGTCTTCGTTTCTCACACTTTTTGCGGTATTTACGCTTTTTGCACGCTTTGGTGGTCGTTGGCTGGAGGCGAAGGTAGAGCGAGCACAGGTTCTGGATGCGAAGGACAGCTCATCGGACTTATCTTCCAAAGAGGTGCCGTCGTTGGCCGTACTACTACAGTTAGCTTGCTGAGAATCCATAAACCTCGACGTGATATAATAGGTATAATTTCGCTTTCGATGTTATAACGTATACGTCGGCGTATTTATGATGAATTAAAGTGAGCATTCAAAACTCAACAAGCGAAAAAATACTTAAAATCCGATAAATTTCGTTGAATTTAATCAGAAGCGACTTAGCCCTTTCCAGATCTCGTGGCACTTGAATAACTGCAGACCTTGAGGGATTTTGAGCGATTTGTTTTCTAGGCTGTATATCCGCGATTCGGTTGCGTAGCCAGTTGCAATGGCATTTGGACCGTGCTGATAAACAATTTGCACTCAATCCAGGTTCCTAGCGAATTTCTATGCGTGAAAAAATATTCCAAAAATGCACAAAGTTAGTCTGTACGTACGGTTCCAGTATTAATATCAGAGACGGTAACTGTGGAATGGTAACCAAGTCGAAATTGTCCCAGTTGGAGCGCAGAATAATTCCGCCGTGCTCAGTTGGGTTCAAGTCCAGGTATATAAGAATACTAGTGTGTACTCGCGTAGCTGCTCATATAGGAGGGCCCCGCACGCTAAAAAAATGAAGTTGGAAATTCTTCTGACAGACCCACCCCCCGCAGACAATTAACAGGAGGAAGAACACAAAACAGAGTAAGCCAGACAAATGGGACTATGTGCGAAGTCGGCTGCCAGTGAAAAAACAACGCCTTTGTTAGTCCCCAAGAAGCAATTTAAAGTTCGTATTAAGTTAGTAGGCATGTATTACGTTAAGAATGGACACGGTAAACCTATTAATACTGAGCAAATACGAGTGGCACGCGATAGGGTTAGGACCTATAGTTATGGCTACGGAAAAGCTGAGAGTTGACTGTAAGGTTATGGGAAGGGCGAGGTCACTTTTTATTGTGGATAACTGTGGTAGGGGGTTACCATTAATAGTAGCCTGACAGTTACACCTAGGACAAGGGTCATCAATTTTAGAATGGGAAGGGTTAGCTGCCGGATTACCGGTACAGTTAAAAGTAGGCAAAAGTCAAAATATGGGATTACATTTGGACTTGGCGTCGATATTAATGCTAGATTCGAATAATGGCCAAGGTTGGAAGTAGGCTGAATCAAAATATTTGCGATAATATTTTTCTATTTAGGGGTCAAATGTAGGATTAGGGTCAGGACTGGATGTGCGAATATGGGTAAATTTAAGGCTGGAGTCAAATTTAATGTTAGGAGGAGTGTTAGATAAATATTAAATGGAGCGTGTAGAAGTCGCTAAGATATATAATAAGAATAAGGGTTACAGAAAAGTTCAGAGTTTAAACATAGTTATAGAGTAATAGTCCTTGAAACCCACTTCCAAGTAAACATAAACGTAGAATGACCACTTAAGTAAAACAAGCGGGCATTTTATAGGAATGGAAACTAGGTGTTGCCACATTCGTAACCCCCCACCAAGGAGTTAAAACATAGATCTTATCTCGGAAGACTGAAATGTATTTATCTAGTACCCCGGTGCAACAGACGTCAAAGATTGATCTTATCGCGGCTCAGAAGGCAACGCATGGCCTGGAAAATGGGATTCACTTAAGCGTACGTGCACCAATGATATCTGTCGCCCCCACTTCGTATGATGTCAATGAAAATGCCCGACAATATGTCCAGATTAAATCTTTGGTGCGCATAGAACTGTTATTAGGAAATCAGTTGTGAAGTCACTTTTTTATCTAAAAATGCTAAATCCGTACTTCAAAGTGCTCCTACTCCGCGCAGTGCTTTTATGAAAGCCAATGCCGTTTGTGTTATTCAAGTACCCTTATTATAATTCTAATTTCTACGGATACCAATTACAAAAACGACATGTAACAATTAGGACTTCCATGTGTTCTGTGTAATTCTTCTTAAAAAATTTGCTGAACCTCGACCGCCACGAGTTACGATGTCCACCGTGTGAAGCACGTTGTGGAAGGTGAAGGGCAGCGAATTGCACCTGAATTTTGAATTTAATGATAGCGGGCTTCATCGCATCTACCGCACCCTCCTCTGTCATACATAGGGCTATGTTCGGCAGAAGATGTCAAGACCGTTGGAGGTGGACTCAAGCGCAATGGCCAGTTAGTCTTGGCAAGCCTATTTACATGCGCCACACAGGCCTTGGCTCCGTACAGTGTACCAGCATTGTTCGGAAGTTTGCAGGGATCCATATCACTAATTTTAGCTGATTGTGATGTACTAAACCTCGTCAGACTAATCAAAAGCCGAATGAGCTTAAATGCATAGGAAATGGATTACACAGCATCCACTTCAATCGCCCGCCCCCTTATGTCTGCTGTCCGAGTTATTACTTTTCGGATGATGTCAATGGGCATAAACAACTGATGCAGCAAGAAGCCGGCGCCTAAGCGCATCGCCACATCATCATTGAAACAGTTGTTATCAGAGGCACGGCATCTGTACAGCCTGGAAAAGACGCTCCGAGGTCTAGTCTGAACCCTTTTTTGCCCAGAACATCTTCCCTATGGTACTTTTGGGATGACGCCGAAATACACTGACTGTACCACACCGGAATAAAGACCACTTTTGTCATTATAGTCAATTTACGAAAGTCGACTGACGAGGTTTCTCTTGGCGTAGGTGCCAAATCTTGTTTCGCCTGAAATTACACCATCGGGTCTTCACGTAGTTCATGCTTAACCTCTCAATGTTTGATTGTCCACTTTCGTTCGTATATGAGAATCCAAGACGAATAGGTTTCTCCTGAGGAGGCCCTACGAGGTTTCGCATGTCTTGCAGGGCCTAAGCTGACCGGTGTTTGCGAAAAGATTTATTTTACAATCTGAAAGTCTGTTTGTCGATGCAATTTCTATACTTACGATGATAGTGGTGCTTCTGGTTTTTCTACTAAAAGCCTTCTGCAACGATGCAGACCTTCTTTGTAACTAAGGTACAATGAAATATAAAAGAAATATAAAATAAGCTGCACGACTCAATGATTGATGCGACATGTGAAAAAACTGTTAATGCTGCCATAGGCAATTGATAAATCCGGCCATTTAACGGAAGAAAGATGTATGTGAAAATAGTGTCGGTCTCATGCCTTCCCCAGCTAAACAATGTCGTAATCCTGAGATTTGGAACAAGCCGGGATGGACGACGCCACAACCAATCCCGGGGTGTCGTTCATTATTTATTTTTGATACATTTGCTTACTAGTCCTGCAAGTTTTTGTAGTACAAATAATATGAACCCTTTCCTTGCGCGACTAACCAAGCAGTGAAAAACTCGGTGCATCGGTCGGTTTTGAACACAGGACAGCAAGGGGAATACTTTAGTACAGCCAACGCTCTAACCACCTGATCTACGAGGCCCAACCTATGAATTACACGAGCCTGGTAGGCAGCTAGTTGATTCTAGATGTATTATTTAAGAAATCCTTCTTGAACGGCCAGTTTACTGTGTCAAATTTGGTGGGTCCAGACGTTGCAGTATGTTGGACCGGTAAACTTGACCCAAATGTAATTAAACTCGCGTCGTCCGGTGGGGCCTCATAGCACAGATGGCCAGAGCGTTGGCCGTACTAAAGCGTCCCCCTGCTGTCGTGGGTTCGAATTCCATCGAGTAACCGGGTTTTTCACAGTACAGTCAAAATCAATTATATGCAATTTGCCATAACACCTTGGAATTCTTTTTAAGTCATTCAAGTGAAAAAAATCCTGTCTTCTTGTTACTGATGCCTGGGATAGACAGGGCCAATTGTAGAAATTTATCTTAATGGACGGGACCTATAACTGAGATTTAAAGCGTGGGTCAGATCACCCCAGTAATTTTCTAAAAGAAACCTGGAAGTTTCTTTTTCGGGCGATTGCTTTAAGAACAAATTAGTCAATTCAGAGGACGTACCCAGGTTTTATATAATGCAAAACTGCAGTATTAGTATGACGTTATCAAAAAATAAGGAATGCCACCCCAGTCCGGACGACACACGCATACATTCCAGGGTGACCCGGCTTTGATGAGGGGGAATGTGTGTGCGTGCAGGACATTAGCATATTGCTTTATGGAGTCTTACGCCCACGGCAACCCGTAAATCTGGACTATATTGGACTAAGGTGAGCATTTTTGACCGCTGATTGTAGAAAACTTGGAGTCCATCATATAAAAATGGTATTGAATGCCATTTGGCGTATATTTTTTATGTTACCTTTCCTGGGCGAAATTGGTAATGGCATCCTTAAGGTCGCATGTGTACTCAATAACTCGCAAGTACCGCACCAGGAAAAATCGCAACTTAAGAGACATATTGAGAGCCACTACAACGCATGTGAAGTGTTTGGATACCGTGTTGCATCATCTTATATAACAAACTATGTCACAATCGAGTGAGTATTAACCAATCGTGCTTGAACCATCCGCATTTGATTATTAATGTCAACTCGGTCCTCCTATATTTATATATATATATATTGACGTTTTGCCTTTTTCGTTTATTGCTGAACAATCGCTTATTTAGAAAAAGTTGAAAGATTGTGCAGTTCTCAGAAGGAAAGCATCAATGTTTTCGGGGATCTTGACTCTTAAGGAATTGCACACTTTGGTCACGTATTCTTGATTGTAATTTTGGTCGAAGCACGTGCATTAAAGTCCATTAGCCCCAAAGTGCACATGCTGGGCGATGGAGTTTCAGGTTTTTGACGACGGACCTTCCTGCTTTCGCTTAAAGATCGTCACGTCAATACTTACGAATCGGCCAATTCGCATACGCAATATAAGAAATAGGAGCAAGAGCCCGGGAGTTACAGATTATGAAGTCAACTTTCTTCAGTTGATCAACTTATTGAGCAATGGAGCCGTCATAAATATAAACGACACAGGTGCATTAATTATCCTCTGAATCGACTCGGTAGGCTGTGTGGTTAATTTTTCGCCCGGGTCTTTAATTGGCGGGGAACATTCCTTCGACTGCTCAAATGAACGTGGTCTTGGTTATTTCCTGGAACCTCTTCTGCTGCTCTCGCCCTTCACGAAGACATGCATGTCACTGAAGCTCACAGGCGTCACAAACAATTCCATCGACCCGTCTGTTGATGTCATTTCGCAAACTTGGTTGCCACTGCTGAAGAAGTTTCTAGCGCCAGCCTCGGCTGCTTCTCTGAAACTGGAAATCAAGAAGAGAGGCATAGCCCCTAAAGGTGGTGGTTTGATTATCTTGTCCTCCAAACCAGCGCAACAGATCTGTCCCATCCAGATTGTTTCTCCCGGGAAAGTTTACAGGTTAGACCGACGCATTGCCAATTATATTGGGAGTTTCTTTCTCATAATTTTGCCCTACAGCATGTTTTGGGGTATGCCAGTACCGGGTGTCTCCAGTAAGTCATTTGTACAACAACCCCATTTTGGTCTCCAGAAGAGTTCCGGGTGGCGACTTCATACTTTCACTTAAGACAGGATGTGGAAGTAGGTGGAATACTTGTAACCGCGGGCCATTCCACTGCGTCACATATCAAGCGCTGTTTTATCTGCGGTTCTGTTGGGCTCTTAACTGTACCTCGAAGATACTCGTAATCGTCCTTCTGTACTTTATCCAGTCCGTTCTTTTTATCTCACTCGACTTCGCGGATGCTGCCGTATTAAGCCTAGTCCACCAGTGTCAGACTACCTTGTAAAGTGACCGCGTTCGTCTGGCACCAACCCACATAATCTCCTTACACAATAACGGTGGGGAGTGCACGTATCTCTTTTTGTTGGCGCGGGCTGTAGTGTTTTCGTCTTATATAACCAGCTGTGCTTGCAGGACGTAGTTGACCACCGTCTCAGTTGCATTATCCCTACAGACCTCAGGTTTAGAGTTGGAAGTTCAAGTCCCAGTGCTTGGCAGCTGTGAGCGTCTGGCATTTTGCCGTAATATTCACCTATAATTAGGCAACTTGGGCGTACTCTTCTGGATTTTGACTCACGGCATACTTGATCAACTTATAATTTAGACTGGAATTTAGCTTCTTTCGTCTTTTATAATCTGTTGAGAGCATTTAAAGCAATTCCAACGTCAAGATCCGTAAGTGTTAGTACTCCTAGTTTTATTTGGAATGACCATATGCATTTCTATTTTTAGAGTTCGAGGGGTCGCGTGGACATGCCGTGTTAGTCCAAGCATCGCCTCCCAGCTCATGCATGGTGCGAAGGATTTGTTGAATTCTTTTTTGAGCGATGTTTATATTAACCTGGATCAACGCAAGGTAGGCATCCCTTTCCGTCGGTTTCTTTTTTTCTAGAAAAGTTCATTTAGGTCACTGTCGATCTATCTTACCTTCGTGTCTGTAACTTAGTACATGGCATCACGCTGCACTCGTTTTTCAGTTCACTAAGTTTCCTATAGTTTGGTATTTTTACATTCTTTGTGCGCAGATAGAAACGATCTCGGTTTCTATTTTTGACGTAGTTTCCCACCTGGAGTACCTACAGTTTATCAAATTACAGTTGTCACTATGGTTTATCTTATCTCTCTATTAGTCATATCATATGGCATAGTGCAAACCATTTAGTTGAAGTTCACTTTACTTTGCTAGCGGGAAGTTGCTGGAGAATGTTCTGGTTTCGGAATCGTTCTTTGGGCCGAAACTAAGGAAGGCATTTTTTACTCAGCTGAAGCCACCAGTGATCCTGAAGGTTCCAAACAATCCCGTCCAGTCATACCTACTGAACTTGGCAACAGTGCGGCCTCAAAGCTTCTGGACCAGGTATTTTTGGCAAATATTGCTGCTCTTATCCTCTTTTTATTGTGTGTTTAACTATTAGTTGTATAGGTAAGTATAGTACAGTCTCCCCTTGTTGTCCACCGCCACCTGTTTCCCGTTGTTTCATCTTCTCATTGTTATTATTGTAAGACCGTTTCAAAGCATTTACTACGTTTGTTGCATTTATCTGCTAGCCTGCAGATATACCACTTCAACGATTTCTAGGCCCATGGGTAATTAATTCGGTGGCTTGCGTACTCCAGAAAAGCTAATTTTCTCGGAATCAGACAGGCACAAAGTATTATGTAGTGGAAGTAATCACTGACATTCCGTGCGCCCAATGTGACCAGGTTGCAAAATGGCTTGCCGAACTAGTTAGCCTTGAGCCATTTTTTTCTTTTGCCGCCCCCGCCCTTCAACAGATGCTCGGCCGGCCGCATGTGCTACGACACACCGCCTCGAATAAGAGTGATTGAGTCTGCATAGGTAGCACGATATACCATACTTGACAGCAAAGGTAAAGGCCCAGATATGTGTTTTGCCGATATTCTGCCGCTGCATGACACAGCTGCGGGGTTTCCAACTCATCTTTGGGCCCCCTACCGTCGAGTCGCTTAAGGGCCGTTTCGTCTGGGAAGTCTTTTGTTCCTCCTTTGAGTGATTTCGCCGCCGGGTCGCGCCTGTCCGTATTCACAAGCTAGTTATGACTGTCTTACCCTGGTTTTATGCATGTAGTGACGCAGGGCTCTATAGGCCGTGGGAAAGTCAAAGCCCCTGTTGTTGGAGTCGACCCGACGCAAGCGTGAGTCGTTCTGTCCGTGTAGTGCCTGGGCTTAAGATGCCAGCTTTTTGGAGGTCAAGAGTTGGGTCACTTTCTTCAACGCGCGTTACAAACTGAGAGCTTGGGTTTAACACCCAAGTTGCCGATCTGCGCTTGTATAGCCAGGCCTGCAATTATCCGCTTTTCCAAATGTAATTGCAGTCCTCATAATCCTAAAACATTTTATAGTCAATTCCCGAAAGTTCGGTAAGTGTCCTTAGTTTACATCAGTCGATGGTAAATTACTGCCTGTGCTTGGCGGGCTATGCCTTCACTAGCGGGTTGTAACAGTTGAAAAACGCCTTGGGGACTCCGTGGGTGTATGGGATGCCCCCCGCCCCCTGTCTTCGGGTTGCCGATCCTTTGGCCGTCGTCTGTTCGCTCGGCGGTAATTTTCTTAGAACAATGACCTGGGCATCCATTGCTTCTGAAAAGGTTAGTAAGGTGTAGTCGTTTAACCCTTGTCGGCCGACATGCTGCACTGTGTTCCAACTCTTTGGACTAGAGTCTCATAATATCTGACTGGTCAAATCGTGGGTTTGGCCTCTATTTTCATATCTCAGTTGGCCGCTGCGTGCTCACTATACACCATGTCTCGCCAACTTTCTTACTAAACTTTATGAGAATTTTGTTCATTGGCGTCCATCTTTCGCAACGTCTGAAACTGGCGTTAGCTTTGGACGTAATCAAATGCTGGATTCGTCTAAGTACCTTTTGCGTCATCGGTTGATTTTCTCATAGCTACGTCTATAGGGTCTTCGGTCCAAGATTAGTTTTGATATTTAAAAAATGCGGTAACGTGAAGACTTGACGTCCAGTGTTATTCCATTCAGTGTTGCCCTCAATCACACAAGTCAGGGTAATGAAGTTTACTCGACAGTCAGACAAGCGGCGGGTAGTCAGCATTGTCAGGAGTGTCTGGCGTGGCTCCTGGGCTTAAAGGACCAACCAACAAACCGACTCAAAGTGAGAGACGGCCGTGTTTAAGTGCCCACTCATACGCGCAAGAGCCTGCGCGACCTTGTAGCGGCGGTAAATCTAAACAGGTGTACTTGCAGTTCCATGGAATTACATCATTTATGACATTTTACTTTGGATATTTTTACGATCAATGTCGTAATTAAACGTTCACCCCTACTTTTACTGGGGTAACCCACTTATTTCTGCACCTTCGGATTTGTTTTTTTTTAAGTTGCTTTACTGCATCTAAGACTGGTCTACAGGAAACATTCAAAACCCTTTCTATTGTATCTGTAATAAAACCGGCCTGTAATTTGTTTGTATATTAGACTATGCTTCGCGTCGGCACTGGCCATCATAGTCACGGACATATTTGGCTCTTGAATAATGATGTTATTGTTTTCTTATGATGACGTTCGCCGATCTATCCTAATTGCAGGACGGATTACCTTTGTTTTCATAGTTGCTGTCTACTTCTGCTGTTTGTTTGCTGGAAAGTATCTCTGTGTATGGGGTAGCCTAAGAAGACGCCTGCCAGATTGGGGTAGGTCCAGTAGTGGAATTCATAGACGCAGCATCGACGCGATTGGTAGACAGAAGCAGTGCTCATAGATCCCGGTTGCACAGCCGCTACACCGAACGCTCTGTCCATTGCAGCCCACTTTGGAGCCACGGACACATACGGCCTGGCTGGCCAGTGCGATCTGCTGGTTGTTTAAAGGAGTCCCATTCAAAAAGTTGTTGAGTGTGGCTATAGTAGAGATAGTTCGCTGGTCGGCGGCTAATAGTGCGTTGGCGTATATAGCGGGGGGAGGGGGGGAGTGAGTAGTTGTTGTGGGCATTATCGACTACCAAATTCCAGACAGTTTTGTAGGGTCCTGTAGGCCTTGCCCTCCTGCCCTAGTAATCGCCGTCTTTTTGAAGTTTGAAACTGCATTACGCACTTTTCAGTTACCTTATTGAATGTGATGTAGGCAAGAGCGTTCTGAATGTATGCGATCAGCGGTCACTGCGCCAGTGTGGGTGTCACGAATGCGCTCTGGTGGGCATTTTCCCGCTCTCTTCTACTGTTTAAGGATCGTCTTATTTATTTGGGCAAGTATCCCGTAATGGACCTTGCTCACCCTCTGCGTCTTTATTTTTTAGATCTACCTCGGTGGATGTGCTGACCAATCGTTGCAGGCCGCGGCCTTGACGATGATGGCCCTGGAGGGCGGTCACAATGCCAGCCAGCTCCTTATCTCAGCGCCCACACCATACACCGTTTCCAGTCTCCGTCTAATTCGCCGATGTCTTGGAGTAAGTCTCCGTCGCAGTACCGTACCTCACCCTCCTCTATTTCTGCCCTTCCTCAGCTTTCTTTCGTAGAAACTTGTTTCCCACGTAGTCTCGAGTCTCGTCAACATGAGGTGATTTATGGGCCTGAGTTACCTATGAGTACTTCACTCTTTGTCTTTTCTGTGAAGAATGCTACAATTATCTTAGTGGATCTAATAACCGTGCCATTCACCAATCCAGCCAGATGGTTGGATGGACTATAGACAGTTCTTTTTTGTTTAATTGAAAAACAAATGACCTCGATTGAAAAAAATCGCGAGAGCCCGTATAATTTGGTAGTAAGTTATGTTGAAATAATAGCACTAATCTCCATGGAGCTTCGGCTTTGAGTCCTTCCGACCAAATTCATGAATATTCAAAGTCACATGGGAGTGGAGTCTACCAGTCTATCCTGGTTGCAGGACTGAGGAGGCACTTCTGTTCCGTCCCGTGCTTCTGTATCGAGAACCTGCATAAGCAATGAAATAGGAATTAACGACTAACGATCAGGTGTTACCAGCGAACACCGGGAGTTGGGAGGGATTTGGCTAAAGGGTATGACGGGGACTAACTGACTCGGCTTCCGGGCTCAGTAGTGCAGTCTGGAGTTGGCGCACCACCGGCTACGCCAGAGGTAGCCATTCAGTCTCCCGTGTTTTTGCCCATGGAAGCGAAGAGGTGAGTTCCGGAATTAGTTCAGGCAAGGATAGCTTATGTGACCCCGCCTTAGCTTGATATGTGGAGCATGCCTACTCATTTGATGTGTGTAGGCATGACATGTCGGAGTTGCCGTTATGTTTAAGAACAGGTTTGCGGTTAGAATTAAGCTTACGGTTAGGTTAGATATTAGGGTTGGAGTCACGGTTAAGATTTGGGTACAGTTAGTCATTATCAACCAATAGCATGGGAATACCCATGTGCGTGTCCTTCAAAATGTATGGTTTGTTCCGGTGCCTCGTTGAGGTAATAAAACAAACATGGCAGAGATGCGAGTTTTCTCGTTGTCCTCACAGATCCCGTTAATTGCCACCGTCTCCTTCTTAACCTTAGAAACTATTAGCATCCTTCCGTATTACAGGAATCCATATGCACAATTTCTCGAATGGAACCGCATACGCTATCGTTACCATAGTTCAAATGCATAAAATGCGATATCCGGAGCTAGGTGTTTATTGGCTTGACGTTTTACATTCTCACTCGAACCCATCGTCAGAAATGGTCTGTCTCTGATAATGGGTCCGAGTGAGGATCCGAACTGTCAGACCAATATACTTCTTCCAACGATCGGATTTTGTTCTTGTGCCATGTTATTATCGATAACAATTTTCAACTCCTTACTATACCACGTAACGTACTGTTTTGTCTTTATCAACCAACTGACGCTGGCTTCCGATTCGAATTTCGCGAGGACGAACATCCAATGACTCCCCTTTCACGTGCTCCCAAAATGTTTCCTAGTCATAACTTTTTAAATCATTATGCACTAGCAAAAACATCCAAGCCCCTCCAAGCGAATCTGTGGTTGTAGTCACTCGGGGATGGTGTTATGCAAACAGAACCTCGAGCAGCATTCGTTCATTTTCAAACCTTCGCGTCATTAACGATTTCCCAATATTTGGGTCTCAGATATTACAGGTATCTACCAATTCGCTTACTCATCATTAATTTACCTGTGACCACTGCACATCTGTATGCCCTTCTTGCGCACTTATGGGCTGCACTGGAAGTAGATTCCGCGCAGGTATCTGACACTTTGTTTGTAAAACTACGTGACAATTCGACCGTTGTTTCCGACGATGTTCACAGTGTGCCCCACAGAAGGTCGGGCGTAGGAACGGGGACTTGCGCGGGAGTCTGGTTTATAGTGGTAATAGACTTGCGCTGCATTTG